TATATATATATATATAATATTCCTATTAATAATGAAATGACTATAATTTTCTTTTTTATTTTTTTTCCCTTTGATGTGGACTGTTTTAACTTTTCTCTGTGAACTTTCAACATTTTAATTGTCAATTTTATCTTGTATTATCAAAATCTATGCACTTAATTCTTGCTTTGCACTTGTTGGATAGAAGAAATAAAAATACGAACTAATCTCGCTTTCCCTTATGAATATATTTAAGGTGGATTAATTTATATTCCATTTTTGCAATTTTTTTTTGTATATTTCAATTACAGTGTATAATAGCAAAAAATTCCATTTCAATTTTGCACTAGGGTATATTTTCATTTTTTAGGAACTTTTTATAGAAAAATGTAATTAGGAAAAAAATTAATATATTTTAAAAAAAAAATCAGGACAAGTTTGATTGAAAAGTAGATAAATTAATTACTTGATTTATTAAGTTTTGTTTTCTAATAAGGAAATAAATTAATTAGTCATATGATTTTGTCATTAGTAATATTTCTATCATTTATATATATACCCGTCATTCTGTTAAAAAAAAGTGTCATTATCTTATTTTTAATTATTGGAAAGATAAAGTTTATTAAGTTTATCAATTTAAATTTTTAATTATTATGTTTAGTATAATAGTTATTAGTTTATTAGTTATATTTATTCTGTCCGAAATTTATTATAATTAATTCTTTTAAATTTTTTAGTTTGTTGAGATTTATTTAGCATAAATAAATAAAATTTGAGGAATGTACAAGATGAACTTGTAGAATTAAGAAGAAATAGATAAGTACATTTGGTAAAAATAAATAGAGAAAAATATCGATCGATTATGAATTTGTTACTATATATTATTCATTTTGTTGAATTTTGTTAAAATATGATTATTAATAAATCAGACTCATATTCTTGAATTTTTTAAAGTTTAATTTTAAGTAATTACTCAATATCAAAGAGTTGACTCAGAAAAGATATATAAATAAAAAATAAGTCAATCATTACATATATAAATGATTCTAAAAGACTGTAAGTTGAAAATAAACTAAATATCATGCATAAAAATGATTCAAAAAGATGTATATGTTGAAAATAAATTGATCATCACGTATAAATACTTGGAAAGATGTATAAGTTAAAAATAAATTTGACCATCATACATAAAGGCGATTTGAAATCCTAGCCAAAATCAAGTTCAAGTCAACATTTCAACAAGATGAAAATTAACACAATACAAAAATAACATCAAATGACTTTTGCCTAAGTCACTCATCTTCCACGGTTCTACAAGTTTCACCATTCACAATTTTTTAAAATAACCAACGCCCAAAATGTCAATCCCTTTGTGTAGAACCTTCACTTACTCAATTGCAAGTGGATCATCTTGGTACAAGGCTGAGGTCTCCTACCCGAGAGCGTGATTTGACTTAACCTTTACGCATTTCTTATTTGAGGTTGGTAAGAAGTGGACCATTCGATCGAGGTCTCTTGCCCAAGAACATTATTTGTCTTAGTCTCTACATACTTTGTGTAAATTTCATAAATGGGTCTGACCCTCTTTTAACTTTCCTAGTGGAGTCATCATTTATCGAAACTCGAAAAATTATGACCTTGCCAACAAATGGTTTGGACCTTTGATTTGAAAATTTCATCAGCTTTGGATTGTCTAAAGATCGGACTAATCCTCCATCTGGTGGTTTTGAAAAGACTTTGAAGGAATTGCTACCTATATTTTACACAAAATATTAGAAAAAGAAAATGTTTTCAAAAAGTCAACTTTGGCCTTCATAACCAGAGTGAGGTTCAGGGATTGATTACGAAGATATTAAGCATCCTACATTACCCAAATTCAGTACCCTATGACAAATTTAGTGTAATAATGACATAATTAAGTTTCTACCCCTTTTATTTAAACATACAACAGTTTATATCTACATTATCCTAGTCTACAACATACACATCACTTTCATTATCTATATGGTGCCTATTTTATGCATACAAGAAAAGCGATAAACAAAGCAGTAAATAAAAGAGAAGAATTGGGAACCTTCGAAGCAAGCTTTTTATAAATCTTCGCAAATTTGTATAAAGACGCTTTTTGGCAGCCTCTTCGCTTTACAGGGACGCTTTTTTGCGCCTTAGTTTTACATATAATTAGGTTAAGTGGAATGGTTGTGCAGAGCCATATGTGTTATAAAAGGGGAACGATCGTTTCGTCTCTAGGAACGACCATTCTAAACCTAGGGTTAGGGTTTTGACCCTTTTTTTGTGCAGAAATGCCTCTTGAACCTCTCGTGCTCTATCTTGGCCCATTTCTGTACTTTCCTTGGCCCTCAAGGGTTGCTCTTCATGTTTTAGAAGTCTCTTGATCCTTGTAGGAAAAGTCCGGAAAAAACCTGATGTTTACAAGGTCAAGGTCTCCTACTCGAGAGTGTAATTTGGCTTAACCTTTATGCATTTCTTGTTTGAGGTTGGTAAGTAGTGAACCAATCTATCGAGGTTTTTTGTTTAAGGGCCTGATTGACTTAGCCTCTACACACTTCGTACTTGAGGCTAGTAGGAAAGTTGACGAACTTATTGTCTAGCATTGTATAAAGCAAGGATCCTATGGTAATAAAGAGGACACACATTTTTTTTTAATGCTTGAGCCTTTGACGATGGCTAGTTCTTTTCTATTGTGTTTTCCATACTAGAACAACTTGTATGGGAACCACCCTCTTTCTAATGAGCTCCTTCCTTCTTTTTGACGAGTGTTAGCCTTTTGTCTTCTTTCCTTTAGGCTTCTTGATCTCTTTGGGTTTGGGTTTCCATGTTCAAGCCTTTCTATTGATTCATGCATGTGACAGTGTTTTTTTTTTCTTTGAAGTTGTCAGATTCTAAGATTGAATAAAACTTTCATTTTAGGTCTGAAAATTGAAAAAGATATAATTCTGAAATTGGATTTGGTTCTATTGTTTTTACTGTTGATTTTCTTTTTGCCATCTTTTCTCTTGAATCTAAGTTGAAATTTTCATTTTTAGTTGTTAGGAATTTCTTAAGCAGCCGTGCTTGGATAAGCAACACCATGTCATTAGCTCCTATAATGAACTACGTTAAGCACATTTTTCAACTTTAAGAAACTTAAATAAGCAATCGCGTTATAGATGATCTAAGTTTCTAACTTTGTTTTTGGTTTGAAATACTCCAACCTAAAGCCAGCTAACGATATAGAGTCGCGAAACGTGTTCTGTTCCCGCCAGGTTACACATATATTCTTCCATGGTTACAATTAATGTAAGTTCCAAGTAGTACCTATCTACCTCAAATATCAAGAATAATCCATCTTTGAGGCAAACACAGCCTTAATTTATTTCATTGATTAATATCTAACCACCATCCAAACACAAACTCGTGCATGGGCATGGGGTGAACCATCGATTCTCTCTCATTTTTGGTCAAAAGGGATAATCTTTGCCATGGGTCACAAACTAAAGTTGAAATACACGCATATCAAATTCCATGGTATCGGATGGAATAGTCCATGCTACTCCAATCAATGACTCCCAATTCCTAATTAATTGTTTCGTCTCAGAAAAGGAATTTTGTTGTTATTGTGGTAGAAAAATCAACCTCTCAAAAGCAACGTTGACCCAACGCGAAAGTAAATAAAAGAATGTTGACTATTGAAAGGAATTTAATATGTGTTCTTATCAACCTACCATTATTTTCCTGTGTAGATACAACAATAAATTTGCTAACTGGAAAAAAAAATACAAAATAATTGTCAGTGGGAACTTGACAAGCAATTTTACATTTTTTAATAAAAAAATAGAAGAAGAAAAAAAACGGACCGATTTTATCCGGCAATGCGCGGAGGGTCTCTCTCTATGGGCCCGGAATAGGACTCGTCCTTCCTCCTACTACCCAAACGAAAAAGCCCATACAATTTGCGGAACTCCCTGACGGTGTGAACGCTTTCCCTGCATATAACAGAGCCCGGTTCGTTATCCTGGGCGGTTCGGGCGGAGGCGCTGTGGGTGAGGCTGGCGTCGAGGGCGTTGGAGTGGAGCTGGAGGGCGGAGATAACGGTTTTCAAGGCCCGGGTGGGAGAATTCCGGTTGGATATCATAATCTCGCCAACCTCGGCCGGGCTGAGGCGGGCCCCGGTCTGGAAAACCTCTTGGAGCTGAGGGAAAAGCTTGTGCTCCTTTAAGCCTAAGTAACTATTGGCGAGAATCTTGAAGGTGGAGAAATCGCATAAGGGGAAGTGTATGTGCACATCAACTCTCCCAGGCCTGAGAACCGCTTGATCAATCTCCTCCTTCGTCCCGTTCATCGTGAACACCATCACGCGCTCCTCGCCGCAGCACGACACGATCCCGTCCATGAAGTTCAACACGCTCGAGAGGCTCGCCGCCTTCGACCTCGCCGCCAGGACGCGATCCAGGTCCTCGATCACGATCACCGACCTCGCCGTTGTCTGCATCAGCATCACCTTCCACTCGCCGCCGTCCGCGAACTTCGCCGCGTCCACGTCGTACACGTCGTACCCGAGGAACTTCGCCATGGCGGCCACGAAGCTCGACTTTCCGGTGCCGGGCGCGCCGTAGAGGAGGTAGCTCCGCTTCCAGACGCGGCCGAGGCGGTGGTAGTACTGCTTCGCCTTCAGAAACTGGTCCAGGTCCGACTTCACCTTGCTCTTCAGCTCCGCGTCCATCGCGACGGTGTCGAAGCTCGCCGGATGCGCGAACGGCGCCGAGCGCCACTCGCCGGCGCCGGAGTTGACGTAGAGCTTGATGTCGTTTTTCCTCCGCTGGTCGATCTCGTCGGCGACGGATAGAATGTGCTGGAAGTACTGGCGGAAGACTCTGCGCTTGTCTTTCTTCTTTATCCGGAGGAGGAGCGCTCCGGCGGCGGCGTCGTTGGTCCAGGAGAGCCTGGCGGAGAGGAAGGTGTCGTGGACGGTGTGGTCAGGGTCGAGCTGGAGGAAGATGTCGGAGGGATTGGGGCCGGAGAAGAGGTTGGTGTAGTCGGAGGAGGGGAGAGAATCGAGGTAGGTTAGGATTTTGCGGTAGAGTTGATTCTCCTGAGAGTGGTTGTTGTAGCGTGGAATTTTGAAGGATTCGTGAAGGTGGAGACGGTCTTCGAGGGAGAGGAGCCATTGATTGAGGATGACAAGTGCAGAGGTTTTGCGGAAGAAGAAGAAAAGGATGAGAGAAGAAGAAAGGAGGATGAAGAAAAGGGAAAGCATGTTGATTTGCCAAATCATGTTAATCTCTTTGCTCTTGCTGGCGATGCAACTTTGTAGTTTGTATGAGCAAGAGCTTTGAATGGGTCTCTGCCTGTGCCTGTGCCCGCAATTTTAATATAAACTAAAAACATGTGTTCTTCTTTGGTGTCTTTGATTTTCAAGGTTTTTGACTCTTGTTTCCCAGCCATACCTTACCACTGCCTGCGCACGCACATTTCTCTATTATCCTTATAAACTTTTTTTAAATCTTTTTTTTTTTTTTTTATTTGCTTCGGCACTTGGGGCATACACATATACATATGACCAATGATGATGACTTCTAATCATAGGTTGCTCACATGATTTCATAAAATGCCACTTTACAGAAAATGACACACTTGCAGGTAACTTGTCTTAAATCAACCGTGGGTTGGATCTTGGATGTGTATTTATGTCACATATGTTGTTGTGTTATTGTGCCAAGTACCAACCATGCCCTTCTCAGTTCAAACATGGTTACTTCACATATAAGTCATTCATATTTCTTAAGCCTGTAATTTTGGGTTTCAAGTAAATTTTTTTAACTATGTCATTTTCTTTTTAATTTTATGAGAATATATTAAAAGGATTATGTTTGAATGCTAGATTGCATGAAAGTATAGTTTTAAATGTTAAATTACCAATTTTGCTGAAATGCACTACTGACTAACTTAATCAAAATATTATATATCAATGAGAATAAATTCTGTCGCTTTAAATTTTTATATAATTAGGTCATGTTTAAATTATGTATTAATAATGTATTATGTGTTCTGTAATAATTTTATAATTTTTTTTTACAATGATAGTAACTAACTGTGGTCAAATCTAAATATCCACTCATTTTCCAAAATCCCCGTCATCACTGCATTAATTGTCCATAATTTATTATCTGTATGATTGGAAGTTAAAATTTATATATGAGAATATATTCACAAAAATAATTTTATAAATATATGCATGATTCACAAATTTGTACATGTTAGGCATAATTAATCTCGTATTTATGAAACGAAATAGTTACAAAAATTTATTTACGTTTATCGTATGAGAATTTCACGTTAAAATATTTTTTTTTTCATGTTAACTAAGTTAAATTCTACTTTTAATTCTTCATTTGCAATTTGATTTTCTATTTTTAATTACGTAACTTTAGTTTTCTAAATTTAAAAAAGTTATAATTTTAACCCAACCGTCAAATTTGCATACTTAAAATGCATCCATACATAATCTTTAATGCGATAATTAATATGTCTCTTGGATACGATAGTGTGACCACGTGGAATACCGTATTTCCGACTTTTTATATGAACAATATTTTAAAATTTAAATGGTCACTGCATTCATATTTGACTGGGGGAGTAAAATTGAAGATTTTTTAAAATTAAAGAAATAAAAATATAATTTAATCTAATAAATAATTATATATATATGATTATGTATAAAATATAAGCTTAAATATTTCTTAATTTTTATAAGATGATAAATTTTATTTTAGTTCCTATAAAATTTGTTCTTATTTTTCATCTATTTAAAATCTAAAATCATTGTTAGTGTTCCTATAAAATTAATAAATTTTGATTTTGATTTGAGTAAAAAAATTTTTTTTATTAATTTTAACCTATCAAGAAATTGAAATCATTCTTTTTTACTTCTAATATTCATATTAAAATAGATAAGTAACATTTTAATACATTCAAAATAATCAATTAATCAACATAAGAAATAAAATATGAAACAACTGTATTAATCAGCAATTTATTCAAAATACTTGGAATCTATCAAATCACCCATATAATTATAAAATATAATTGTCCGTTTTAATTTGGTAAAGTGAGGATTATTTTGTCAACTAATTCGTTTTGAAGTGTAATGGAATTCGTTTATTTCAAGACACCTGTTGGTCCATGATGATTTGCCATCATAATTCATGAACTTGTATTGCATATACCGTAACCGATTCCTTCCTTAAACAGCTGAAGTCTAAAACATGAGGAATTGAAGATATTTCCCCATATGATAATGGTTAAATTTATTATTATTATTATTATTATTATTATTATTATTATTATTATAGATTGTTATTATATTAAGAAATTTAAAGTATAAATATAAAAACATTAAACTAGATTTAAATGATCAATATTAAAATAATATTGCATGACATTTTTAAATGATTATGAGACCATTAATTAATTTTTAATATTGATTATATATGAATGGTTGTATGACCAAAATAAAATAAAATTATAGGGTAAGTGTAGAATAGAAGAAAACGTAAGGAGAATAACTGAACAAAAACGAAAAAACATTAAATAAAATTGCATTCAAAGGTACGTTTAATTGTCTCCTTTGATTTTGAGGGTTGGCTAGTCAGGAGGAATAATTTAGTTTCAACGTTCAACCGCCTACATTTGGATGCCGTATAATTAAGAATTATTCTATGGTACCCATCTTACTTGAGAGGGTACCGATACAGTTTTTTATATTATATATTTTTAATAATTTATTTAAATAATATTTATAATATTTTATTCTTTCAATTTTTAAATTATTTAGTTATTTTATTTTTATTTTATATATTCTAATTTATTTGTAATAATATTATTATATATTTAAATAGTTTAATTTTAATAATTTTTTAAGTATATTTTTGTCTTTTCACTTAAAATATTTGAATTTCTATATTTTAATTTGAATTATTTTTTAAGTATATTTTTATCTTTTTGTCTTAAATTTTTGAATTTCTATATTATAATTTTAATAACTTTTTATTTTTACTATTTTTTATTTTTAATATTTTATAATATTATTGAAATCTTATAATTTTAATTTCTATAATTTTATCTTACTTTTTATTTTATAAGTATAATTTAAATTATTCATTTTATAATTAAATTAAATTTTTTAAAATCTTTTATAAGTTTACATAGAAAAATATATTGAAACCCCTCGATCTTTGAAGGTCCTGTAGTAATTTCCTATAATTAATTGGTCGTTAACGGATATCACTCTTTTTCTTTCTCATTGACCACCTATACGACTTAGTTAATTAAAACATATCGATCAAATTATGATAAATAATAAACTTACTCATCATTAACTGAAGCAATTTAGACATGTGAAGAGTATAAAAAACGAACTAACTGAATCTCCAATAAGAAATAAATAAAACAGGATAGTTCAATCCAAATGAATGCCGATGTCAATGAAAGGCATGTTTCCCAAATACAAATTAATTCTTAATTGTCACTCACACGCTATGCAGTTTATATTAATGAAAAATAATAATTCTAAAAAATAAAAATTAAAATTAAAATATTGAATGGACTGTGACTTTTGATGGAGTCATTTGATATATGTTACGCTGTGGTTATAATGTTTCCACGTCTTTTCTGAAAACAAAAAAGAAAGTTGTTCTTTTGGTAACTAAATTAGTTTTGATGCAACCTGGACGAAACGGCCAAGAGTTTTGACAGAGGACAATCGCTTTAACGATATGCAATGAACCCTTGAAAACCATTTATATATTCATTTGTGAAAGGCCCTTGATTTTTTTTATGCACCAAAAAAACTGACGATATGTCAATAGGGACAGTTCCTTGTTTAGATAATAATGACTTGAGATACAATGCGTCAGCGTCAGAAGCTTTATTGCCTGAAAAAATAAAACAAAAAAATGATTGTGGCCATTAGAAGATCGAAAATTCCCGTAAACCAGACTGTCATATCCATGAAAAATAGAGTGGTGATGCCACATTAATTTCCATTTGTGTCCAATATTCTGTAAGGATGTTTTTCTCCACAAGACTTGCAGGTATTTGACAACGACGTGGATATTTCCAAACAGAATAGTCAGTTTCAATTCCAAAACCCTAAATGAGTGAAAAGAAAGATTTTCCTTCTCGCATTGTGATCAATCATGAACGCCAATGTATATTTAATTACCCCGTTAATCTTAAATTTATTCGATATTTAACTTTATAGTTTTTTCTTCCCTTTAACCTTAAAAGTGGTCAAGTAATGATGGCAGGCATCAGCCGGAACTAACTGAGGAAGATACGCTCCCCACGTAGTGGTCCTGCCTCCACTGTAGAAATGAAGTTTTGAGAGGGAAAAAAGTACAAATTTGTGGTCCTAACTACATGATGAACGCTTGCAACTTTCAAGGGTTAGAGATAATGATCAGCATATGCGGGTGGACCAGAAAGACAACAAAACACACAAGGATGATGACTCACCCACGGTGCTTTAAAATTATAACCCTGCCGAACCCACTCCAATGCCAGTTAATTTCTTCGAGGTCTCAACAATCATTGATGGCTGTTGGCAACTTGATACACACTGCATCTCATCGTCTTGATCAATCTTAAGCTTTACTCTGTTCAAGTTTTCGGCATGTCAGTGTTAAATAATCATATAGATTAAATCACATGATAGAATACATATGGATATGGACTTTTGCCCAATACAACCACAAGTAATTTAGGGCTGATTCAAATAATGACATGTTTTCCCCTTTTCCACAAGCTAAACATAACAGAATAGAATGCGTAATTCCTCCTTGATTCCACCTAACAGCTCGGGCCTGATGAATTTTTAATTATCCCCACTTTTGTATATGTTTGGTTAGAGTATTATACAATGTCATAGAATATGGATGAATCTGACACCTGAAATAAACATTAGCTACCATTTTATGTCATTTTACAGCATCAAATCATAGTATAATATATATAAAGGAGAATGAAACAACAAAAGCATCTCTGCATTACCCAAATAGTAATCAGAGAAAAAAATTGGCATAAATGGAAATAAGAAGGATTGATGCATCAAATACTGAACATAAAGCAGTAGCCAACCATGGCACTTTTATAATCAATGTATAATAAATATATGTTCCTATAATTAGTATAACTAAGGTAATACTCACTGTTACAAATTGAACTAGGCTAAATGACCGTAGAAGAATGCTAAAAGAAGTGAACATTTTAAGGATTCCGGGAATCGGGTTGGAGGTTAATCATGTGAGAAACCACAAGCTTAGAGAATTCATTGATTGCAGCTTGAATCTGAGAATCACCTGACTCACCAGGTGCTGTCCATCTAGAAGGTGACTGAAGGCTGAATCCTCCGTATTCATTTGCAGCAACCTTTGTCTTCTGTGAAGTGGCAATAGCCTTCTCCAAATCTAACTGGGACAAAGGTCTAGGTGCCTGAAACGGGAAAGATAAACAGAACAGGTCAGCAGCACTTACTTTATGAGAAAGCCACCGAAACGATTAATCAGTTTCTTTAGCAAGATTTAATAAATGATCTTGCACATTATGTAGTTGCTTTCACAAATTGAGTAGATTGGGAAAATAAAAGCAGAAAAAATGCATGAAATATACTTACAGGAGGTCGTTTTCCTTCCTTCTCTCCATCCAGTAGTTCTCTTATAGGAAAATAGGCAGCTTTCTTGCAAAGATCAAATAGATCTGAACCAGTGTAACCATCACACAAGCCAGCAATATGACCAAAATCTATATTGTCTTCAATCCTCTCACCCTTTAAGATAACCTTCAATATTTCAGCCCTCTCCCTTTGGTCTGGAATTCCAATTTCAAAAGCTTGAGGAAGACGCCGAAGTATTGCTTCATCAAGTTCTGAAGGACGATTAGTTGCTGCAAGGACCATAACTCGAGCATTCTCTACATACACAGAAGTTACCCCATCAACAAATCTACCAGCAAAATATCTATCAAAATTGTCATTATCTTATTTGCAACTTATTTTTGAATATTTAAATATTTATTCAGAAAAATAATATAACATGATGATTGGTTTAAACTTACGATCTGTGGTAAATCCATCCCAAAGAGCCATGAACTCAGTTTTCATGCTTAACAAAGCCTCATGATCTGATGCACGACGCTGACCCAAAAAACTGTCTACTTCATCAATGAATATGATGGCAGGCTGAAGCTTATAAGCCAAGCTAAATACAGCAGCCACTGCAGAGCAACAGAATATTAACAGTTGAGATAAAAAAACACTTCAAAAAATAAAAAGAACATAAAGCATAATTAAGCACATTTAAAATTAGATACAAAATTATATTATATAGTCATGCAGGCAGGGTTTGAAAAATGAAAGCACAGCTACATATACAAGAATGCGACTATTAACTAACTTTTCTGTCTAAGAATTTGGCCAATACACCACTATGCTGAACACTTCAAGCTGAAGCTGTCAACCAAACAACCACACATGCTAATCAACAATATTACTATAATTAGAACATAGACAGAGCTGGCCTGTCACTATCAACTCCTCAAGGGAAACACACATAAAGGATGGAAAACTAAACCAGCAACAACTTATAGGGTAATTGTTTCATTCAATCCAGAACTTTTCCAAATAACAGTCTGTCTAATTGTTGACAGAGAGGCCAATTTTACAGCAGGGAACATTAATAGCACTTTGGGACATGATATAATACTGTATGAATACAACATTACAACAAATTCTGATAGTTATAAGACAGACTAGTCAGAGAATTAAAATAAACATACACAAAATCTAGAGAAATAGTATTAAATTTAAAATTAAAATTATTAATGTAAGTTATTAACATTAAAGTTATGAACATTATAATACATATAAACGATTTTAAGGATAACCTACAGACATCAATAATGCACATGAATTTGAATTCAAACAAATCAGTATGCATAAATATGATCTTACAAGATATTCAAAACTTCATCCATAAAAGCAGTAAGTCACTAAGATTCATCATGTTGAATTAAACAGGGAAAATCTACCATGTTAACAACTTTTCCATACATCGCATCGTTATTTCTAAATTTACGTGAAAATTTAAAAATTAAAAATAAATAAATAACATGTAAATATCAAACATTGCATACTTGAGAAAAGAAGAAAGCATAATAGGAAATGTCTTCATTGTTGAGCATTTTATTTTATTAGATGGGAATAAATTAAAGAGACAAGACATTAAAAATGGAGAAGGAATTAAAGAAAATAAAGTATTTAGATCAACAAACACATTTAACATCTATTAATTTGATATGAAGTGTCAAAATTCAAATTGGGATACGCTAAATATAAGTTTGAGAAAAAAAAAAAATAAGGGGTTGTTTAGTTTAAGAAAAATGTTTACTAATCTTATTTTTAAATTACAAAAATGTCATCTCGTTTTCACTTTGTTTCCAATTTTCAAATATTTGTATGAGAAACAGTGTAAACAGGAACAATTTGTTTTGATTGTTTTCTATACAAATCTTCAGAAACAAAATTAATAAGATAGCATTTTTGCAATTAAAAGTGAAAATAAGAAACAAAAACAGAAAAAACATTTAAGAGTGAGTCATCAAACTTAAGATATACGGATTGCCTAAGAAGAGTATTTTCTAGATCCTTTTACATTGAAACAAAAGACATGATGACAACAGTTGTTCTCAAGAACCACAGGTGAAAATAAGATAACATTTTTGCAATTAAAAGTGAAAATAAGAAACAAAAACTGAAAAACATTTAAGAGTGAGTCATCAAACTTAAGATATACGGATTGCCTACGAAGAGTATTTTCTAGATCCTTTTACATTGAAACAAAAGACATGATGACAACAGTTGTTCTCAAGAACCACAGGTGAAAAAGTCAAGGAAACTATGTACAATGATTTAAATAGTCTGTATGTCAAGTTTTTATGAAATTGCAAAGTAAATTATCAACAAATTATTTGATCCCAGTGTTGCATGTCTCTGTGGACCTTATGAAAAGAAAAAATGAAAACATAAGAGTGTGAAAAAGTTTAATTTATTGAACCAAGTTAACTATAAAATCCATATGTTAACATAAAAATTCAATGTTGAAGATACTACAGTGTATGTAGACAATAGAGCATAGCTTTACAGTCACTTACCGAGTTTTTGTGCATCCCCAAACCACTTGCTCATCAGGTTTGATATCCTCACATTAATAAAAACTGCTCCCGATTCCTTAGCAATAGCTTTGGCAAGCATGGTTTTTCCAGTGCCAGGTGGTCCATACAACAGGACCCCCTTTTGTGGTCCAAGAAGCTTGCCATGTGAAAATAAGTCCGGTCTTTTTAGAGGCAGAATAACAAGCTCAAACAAAGCTTGCTTGATTGTTTCCAGTCCCCCAATAGAGTTGAATTCCACATCAATGTGGTCAGGATTTATAACATCACAGGCTATAACATCCTGTACACAGTAAAGGGCACATATTAAAAATTGAAATAAAATATAATACTTAACTATGAATCCAATATTTTTAACTGCTAGAATAAAGTAATGCCATATATCCATAGAGGATACATAATAGGTCTAGTCCTTTGTTTCTGGATAGAATTCCCTTTTAAATTAATCTCATAATTTAACATAGAAGATGGTCAAAATAAGGAAATCATAATAGATTTAATCCATAAGGAATTAAAGAATCTCTTATAGAATACAATTGCCTAGTGCTATAAACCCATCTTCCTGTTGATTACAGGATATACAAGTAACATGATAATATCAGCACATTAGTACATGATGTACATAAACAACCAAACTTTATCCTCTGGGAAGACACAAGGTCATAATTAGAGCTTAGCTACTCAAAAGCACATTATTCCACCTATTAAAGAATCATCCGAGTTCCAACCTAAAAAATTTAAGATGCAATGCAAAGGCCAATGAATAACATGCAGACAAGTGCAGACACACAATTATTACATCCAACCACCTGAGTAAATACACTACGTACATACAAGCACATCATCCTTTCCCATCTTCCCCACCCATACAATAGTCATTCACTAAGAAAAGACACCACTACTCAAAGGAAATTTTGCAGAAACCAATGGCATATAAGAGAGAGTAAAAAAAAAATATAAAAAAAACTAAAATTAGAAGGACAAGATAAAGAAACTAATCCTATAAGGCTATAACTTACAAGCTCAAGTAGGGAAAAGCCAAAAAAAAACCACCCTCTTAACAATCAACGTCAATGACACATACAAGTACGGAAGTACCCCTACCGTGACATTCAGCGAGATAGGAACAAGTATCAAGTTAAAATAAAAATAGAAATAAAATGCTCCAACACCTCCATTAGGATCCTTCAGTAAGACAATAACCATTTCCATTATCAACACTAACAAGCAATCTATACCAAGTCCTTAAACATCTTCCTAGGCAAATAATTTGCCATCACAATCCCATAACCCCGAGAGTAAACAACACTAAAGTGATTAAAACGAAGAATAAGAGATATAAACAACCGAAATTCAAAAAAAAAAAAAAAGGAGCAATGGATAAACCTCATAAGGGTTTGTCTGAATGAGGGGGCGACCGAGACGTTTTGCAATCTCCTTCTTGTGCTCGATAAGCTTCTTCGATGCTTCGCGATTAGGGTCGAGGTGTCTGAGACCCGCGAACAAGACCAAGCAACTCAGCGCCGCGCTCGCCGCGTACAACAACAGGTCTTGCAGGAACTTCGTCTCCGATGAACCTCCCATTCTTCTTCCAATTCGAGTCGAATTTTCGGATTGTAATTTTAGCTTTAGCTTACCATCAAAATTTCTTCTCTCTGCAATTCTAGCGAGAGGAACCAGGGTTCTGAAGTGAAATGTGAAAAGGTTAAGAATCCCAACGCTTGGAGTTGAGGATGACCCAAGTGTGACTCTACAAATTACGTGTTGGGCTGGGCCCCATGTCGACATAGGCCCAATCGTTTTTCAAATTTGTTGGGCTGGCTTAAGAAATTATTGTCGGTCTCAACAAGTGGGTCGTCTCCTTCGAAAACTTTATTTTTTTGGTGTGTGTTTGTGTACATATAGTTTTTGTGAAAACTCTATTATGATTCGTTGAGCATGAAAAATTGAAAATACTCAATTTTTATATGGAAATTATAGAATAGTGAAATAGTTTATGTAAATTAATTGGGGGTAAATTTATATTAATTAAGTAAAAAAGAAAAAAAAGTAAAAATATAAATATATTTTTATACGTGGATGAAATATTTCAATAATTTGGATCTTATACACAACTACGGATCCAAAAGTTAAGTGATGAACTGAAAATTAAATGAATTTTAGCACACGTTGTAAGATTTTCAATATATTCTAACTGAATTTTTAATTTTAAAATATAAATAAAAACACCACTATTATTAAATAATTGAGAATAAAGCATAATACAATAATAATTTTTATTTTATTATGTAAAAATAAATTAATAAAGATAAGACTTTTAAAATTGGAAAATATATTATATAAATTAATTTGTATATTAACTATTGAAATGATATAATGTGTCCAAATTCAAATTTATATTTCGGTGTTAACAACAAATAAATTATTATACCGTATAGTTTAATATTAAAATATCAAATTAGGGGAGAAGGGACCTACCTTAGCTTCGTTTCTATACAATTTTTTTCTTCTTAAAATAAACAGAGTCAAATCCATAACTTTCAAACACTTTATTACGTTTTAGTGCAATTTTAGTAGTAGAATAATTTTTAGCTCAAGTTGTAGCGATTAGTCATTGATATAAGAACCTTCCATTGTTAAATAATAATAATAAAGATAGACCTAAAAGTAAAACAAAATCATATAAGTGCACGTCATCATATACCCTAAACAGGGAAGTCATAATTTTTAGACACTTTTACTCTTTAGTGACATTTTTCTTGCACAAAAGTCTAGCCAGCAAAACAAATGATTTACGAGTGGTGAATAAACATACAAAAAATATTCTATAGCAATGGAACAAAGTGACGGATAGCTCTGTTACCACTTCTTCATTAGTGGAATCCTTTTGGGATAACCCTATTTTATTCGATACTTACTTTTAGATTGATGTGAAATTTTTAGATGATATTGTGATGGTTATCATCAGAATCATTCGATGTAAAGCTAGCTAGATGCTTATTTTGTTTCTTAGGTTTTTGATGCTGTAGTATGGACCAATGGATAGGAAAGGACTTGAACGAATATATTACATATAAGTGATGTGAGATGTCGATTCAATAAAACATTCAAAACAACATTATCATTTCATCAAATCAATTCAATTAATGAAGTTGTAAAACATAAGTTTTTAGCATATATGAGTTTGATCATCGTATTTTTCCTCTCTAGATTTTTTTTCTTTGCAAGATCAACTATGAGTTTTTTCTTAAACAAAGATCACAACCTCCTCGATGCTCTGTTTGGTAGAACAACGAAAAAAGTAAAAATTGGATTGAAAGCGGAGAAAGTGGTTTGAAATTAGAGCAAATAAAATTATTTATATGATCTAAAAATATATTTAATTTTTTATTTTGTATTCTTATAAGAAAAGACTTGCACATGCATAATAGTAAATGGACAACGCCTCCCCGTGCTTAAGAGAGATCACTCTTCCTGCCATTTTAAAGAAAATAAATGCCAATAAATCACTTTAATGCAATTTTACATTTTTGGTTCCAATAAACCTTACATGTTCATAAAGGATTGAATATGTAAGGTTTAAAGCCCCTTGCTCATTCATCCTCTGGCTGCTAGCTAAGAGTGGTCAATTTTATTGATTCTGATATTGAATTTTATGTATACTTGTTTTTCTTGGTTCAAAATTCTCTCCATATCTTTCCTTTTTCAGTTTCTTTCACTGATTACTAAGGTTTTGAAAAAATTAAATGAAATGAAAATAATACACATTCAATAGAGAGAATCGTTTATTCCCCCCCCCCC